AGAAATATAATGTTTCACCACTAAGTACCCGTTAGCTGTGTTTTTTAATAGATGCCCTGCAAAATAGCAAGACATGTATTATCTGCCACCAATTCCTTACACAGAGCTCTTCAGACACTTGTGATCTCATGAGCAATAGTGACACTAGGAGATCTTTTGTTCTAATATTTGGCCTTTGACCCCCAGTTCCTGGCAAGGAGCTCCTAAATCCCTAGAAATTTCCTGGGTGATAAGAGCATCTTTTGTTGTCATGAGATAACTCTTGGTGAGCTCATTATCATCTGGGAAATCATCCAAATCACTAGAGGATGGGGACTCATCTGCAGAAAGACCAAGCATGATTAGAAACTTGGAACTTTTCAGCTGACTTAGCGACTTAATTAATAATCCATGATGCCTATATGATGAAGCCTTCAAAAATCCTCTAAAGTACAGTTTGGAGAACTGGGTTGGTGAGCACATCCAGGTACTGGGAGGGTGGTATATCCCGACTCCACAGGGACAGAGGGTCCTCTGTTGAGGACACTTCCAGACATTACCTTATGTACCTCTTTATCTGGCTGTTCATTCAGCCTTTACCATACCCTTGATTAATGTGTTTCCCAGAGTTCCATGAGCCGTTGTAGAAAATCATTATTCCTGAGAAAGGAGTGGGATAAATTTATAGTTGGTCAGATAGAGGTCCAGGAGGCCTGAAGTAGCATTTGGCATCTGAAGAAGTTGCAGTCTGTGAGACTGAGCCCTTAACCCATGGGCTCTAACACTAACTCCAGGTAGACAGTATCAGAATTGAGTTGTAGGATGCCCAGTTCATGTGAGAGAATTGGTCAGTGTGGGGGAAAAATATAGAAGAATAGAAGACACCAAACCATATATTTGGTGTCTGAGGAGTTGGTAAGAGCAGAGGAAAGAAAACAATAGTTTACTTTTATGTTCTTTACCAGATTTGAGAAGTTTCTCTTCTATTCCTAGCTTTCTAAGTTAATGGATTTAAATTTTGTCCTATTTTATGCATTTAATAAGATCCTATTATGGTGAATTACACTGGATGACTAATTACGCCACAGGAAAGAGTACATTGGTCATGATGCACCATATTCTATATATGACTGGATTTGGTCTATTATTTTGTTAACAAACTTTGCATTTATATTCAGTAAAGTCATGAGTATGTACTTTTCTTGTAATGGCCTTATCAGTTTTTAGTATCAGGCTTGTCTGGGCCTTATAAGATACATTGGGAAGTTTCTTTCCCCCAGCTGTATTTTCTGAATTTATGTAAAATTGGGATCAGTTCTTCCTTAAAGGTTTAATAAAAATCACCAGTGAAACCATTTAAATCATAAAGGTTCTTTGTGGGAAAGTTTAAATGTTCCCATCAAGTTAAATATCTTTTAACAGTTACAGGACTATTCAGAATTTTTGGTTTTTTGCTTCTTGCATCAGTTTTAATAATTTGTGGTTTTAATGGATTTTCCCATTTCATGTAAGTCGGAAAATTTATTGGCATAAAGTTTTTCGTGATATTTTCTATTATTCTCTTATGGTTTATAAGGTCTCTAGTGATGTCTCTTTTTTTAAATAGATTTTAGAGAGGGCAGAGAAAGAGGAGGGAAGGAGGAAGGGAGAGAGACAGAGAGAGAGAGAGTGAGGGAAAGAGAGATTAATTTATTTTTCCACTTACTTTATGCACTCATTGGCTGATTCTTTTATGTGCTCTGACTGGGGATTGAACCTGCAACCTTGGCATATTGGGATGATGCTCCAACCAACTGAACAACCTGGCCAGGGCTATAGTAATATCTTTATTCCATTCCTGATATTCGTACATTTATGGTGTATTTTCTCCCTTTTTATTTTTTGATCAGTCTTGACAGAGTTTACCACTTTGCAAAAATATTTTCCAAGGTCTACCTTTTGGCTTTTTGTCTGTTGTCTATTTATCATTTCATCGTTATATATTATTTGTTTTCTTCTAATTGAGTTTAATTAGCTATTCCCCCCCCCCCAGCTTCTTTATGTAAAAGCTTAGATCATTAGTTTTAAATGTTTCATCTTGGGTAACATAATCATCCAAAGCTAAAAATTGTCCTCTAAGCACAATTTTAGCTACATCCCACAAATTTTGACTTCATTATTATTTTGCTTGAGATATTTTCTAATTTGTATTTAAATTCCTTATTTGACTTTTGGATGGTTTAGAAGTAGGTTTGTTGATTTCCAAATTCTGGAGGTTTTTCTATATCTATTGGCAAATATTTTAAATTTAATTTATTGTAGTCAGAGAAATAACTATGACTAATTTCTCTGAAATTTTTGAGATTTGATTTATGCTGTATTATTGGTCCTTCTAGATGTTTGTTCCATCTGCATTAAAAATAGTGTTTTATAAATATCAAGTAGATCAAGTTGATTGATAGTGTTGGTCCAATCTTCAATATCCTTATTAATTTGCTCTATTTCCTACATGACATAATTGAAGCTGGAGAAGCTGGCATTTGTGCTGCCTGTCACCTACCAGATTCAATAAGCAGAGACAGGAATTGAATCTTCATGGGCACTTCATTCAGAGGGTCGGGGCAATTTTGAGAGATGGGGGTTATGTATCCTAACAGATGGTCTTAAATTCCATTATAAACTGACCCTTTCTATAAGGAAAAGAAAAGTATAGGTAAGGGGTCTGGAATTCAGGGTAAAAGTAAATCAGATAAAAGCAGGAGCACTTTTTCCTCTGTGTCCTGGTCAGTGGTCCTTATCTGTGCTCTGGGCAGGGGCGTCCACCCTGGAGCACAATTGCTCAGACACCATCCTGATTGCCTGCAGTCCTCCTGAGGCACAAAGGTGGAGTTGTTTATGGTCTCCTGGAGTCCAGGTGGGCCAATACCTTCAGTTCTTGAAATAACAGCTTTCTACGTACATTGAGTACTAAGCTTATTAGCTATTACCTGAAACTATTTTTTTTCCGTTTGATTCCCCCATCATAATGATCAAATGAAGAATGCATACTCAAACTATCTGTACTCTTGGTCTCCTTTTCCCTTCAATTCTGTCAGTTCTTTGCTTCATGTATTTTGAAGCTCTGTTATGAGGTACACACATTTAAACTGTCATTTGTCCTTAGTGAATAGGCCCTTTTATCATTATGGAGTGTCCTCTCTCTCTGGTAACACTCTTTATCTTGAAGTCTACTTTGTCTGGTATTAGTATAACTAGTTAAGAAAATAATACTTCAAAATACTTTTTCTATTCATTTTTCTCACCTGCCAGCCTCCTCCCCCTCCTGCTGCCCTTTGCCTAGCAGCGTTAACAGGTTGGTGGGGCACCCATAATAGCGGGGACTGCTGGTCACTGCAGTTTCCAAAAGCTGGGCAGTCTGGAGACCCCTGCAGAATTTGTTTCAGGCTTGGCTTTATCTCCCTTTGGAAATCTTTTGATCTCTGCTTCTACCAAGCTTGTAGAGGCATCATTTTGCCTGAAAGAGATGAAAACTTTTTAAAAAAAAGTGTTATCAGGTAGCAACAGCTTGCTAAGAATGGTAGAGTTTATTTTTCATTAGCTGTCTTTATTTTCAATATTTTTATATAAAGGGAAATTCTATGGCATTTTGATTTGAGAAGTTTGGAATTCACTGAGGTGAATGCTCCAGTCTGAGTCAGGTGAGTGGAATTTTTGTTTGTTTGCTTCAAATTCCAAATATGTGACTTCAGGCAAGTCCTAAAATCTATCCCAGAAGAACAAAGGTGGTGATGTTTATCCTAATCTACAACTCAGGGAATTTTTAAATTGCACATGACATTAGAGAGTATCTGTTCCTACCTGGCAATTTTATGAATAAGGAGAGTAAAGCTTTGAGAGGCTGAATTATTTGCCTGAAGACATTCAGCTTGTTATAGCCAAGGACCCAGGACTATATTTGAACCTAGGACTCTTGTTATTAACCTAATGTTTTTGTTTCTTGTTTTGTTTTTTTTACAGCAAATTTAGAGAGCATTTAGAAAGACTCCAAGATTCCAAAATAATAGTCCTATACAAATCTTTGTTAATACAAGGTGCTAAATTATTTACAATATTTATGAAATGCTGTTACATGAATTTCAAATGGCAATATTTACCTTCTATAGCTGAGTTGAAATTCAAGCAAATACGTCAGAAGAACCCTATAAATCTTTGTCAAGTACCGAATAACCCGATTTGAAGAAGTCATTCTCCTTTTTATTATTCACATAATATCAACTTGCCTATCTCTCAAAGATTACCAAGGGATCACATAGTAGGCAGTTAGACCTACACAATTAGAGTGGGAACGATAGGCCAGGTATGGAATGTCACTAGGGTGGAAAGCCCAGGGCACCTAGCAAACCTGGGAAACAAGTATTGTAGGGTAGGACTTTGCCCCTAGGGTGACCTTTAGTCCCCTAGCGTATCACTGGTCACGTTTTTTAGACCCCCTGACCTTTCATATGGGTGGTCATGATGTTCACACACCCCCAGACCTTTCTTCCCCTGGCTTGTCTCTAGTCATGGGGTAAACACCATCCCCCAGCCTGCCTTAGGGGGCTGGAGAATAGACAATCAGTAGAGACTGTAACCCTGAAAAGATATACCTGGAAAGCTGATGGATATTCCATTGAGATCCTCCCCTGAGACCCCCTCCTAAAATCCTATATTTAAAACCCCTCAAGATTTCTCTACCCTCCTCTTTTCCCAGGTAATTTGATAGCCCTCCCTTCCTCCCTGAAATTACAGCAATTAAACTCATTAGACAATATGTTGTGTTTTCTATTTCACCTTTTATTAGAAATGGATCTTTTGTTACACTATTCAATTTGCCAAAATTTATTTTGGAAAAAAGTTTATAATTTTATATTATACTTCTCCTATATGCTATAATGAGGAGGAGGAGGAAGAGGAGGAAGAAGAAAAGAAAATCAAGAGACTGAAAAGACAAGCCACAGACTGGAAGAAAACATTTTCAAAAGATAAAGAACTGACATCCAAAATGATAAAGAACTTTTTTCTTTTTTTAATTTGAAGACATTTTCCATTGGTGAACCAAAATGATTCAATTGAACATTGAATGCTCAAGTGTTCCAACCTTATGGCGGGGAAGCAAAAGGTATCTGCTCTTGGTTTCCACTTCCATCCTGACCCCTTTAACATCTCTCCCCCCATCTAAGAATTAAAAGAAAGTTTCCACGGAAGTGATTAAAAAAAATCATTTGCAAGCTTCTGTAAGAGATTCCTCACTCGGCCAAGGCACTTACTTTCCAGAAGAAGATAAAGTTCTTTGCAATAATTTCAAAGCAATTAATCTTATGCTTAAATGATAATCCTATAATTAGAAGCAATTAAAATCCTGCAAGAGAATGATCTGCTCAATGTCCATGTCCCTATATGCTAATTGGACAATCTTGAGAGGCCCAGGGATACTGGCATTCCAAAGCCCATTTTAAGAAGGCTTCTTCATTGCAGCAATCACTGAAGTCAAAGTGGATGGATGACTGAAGAATCCAGGGTCTTGACATCATCTTAAGCAGAAGAAAAATTACTCTGCCATTTGTAGCTTGGATATCTGCAAGCCTGTCATCGGTGACCTCGGCCTTCAGGTAGATCTGGCCCCTCTACCCCATGTGGGCTATCTTACAGGGGTTAGGGACATTCATCTCACACTGCTTGTGCACGTTCATATGGCAGGCGTCACATTTCTTCCCTTGACGAATCATCCCATACAGCATTGAGCCACAGTGATCACAGAAGGTGGGCCTTCGGTAAGTGCGGGTTTTGAACGTGTGCTTGCCCCTGGCACTGGGGTCACCAGTGCCAGGTCGCTCATCCGCACCCCCACAAGGAGCAGTGACCGACTCGTGGCACCTCTTATGAACCGCAAAATGGCACCCTTGGCACCGGTAGCCTTGTTTGCCGATCCCCCAGATGAAGTCCCCGCACTGGCTGCAGAAGGTGGGCTGCCTGAAGACATGGGCGGTGAACTTGTGGCCTTCCACCTCGTGCACTTTCTTCTGCCTCAGCGTTCCTTTGCGGGCCGGGGAATCGTTAGCCATGGTTCTCCCCGAACACTTCTCTGGGTCGGTGGGGGAGCAGGAGAACCCAGTGCAGGGCGCAGGCCGCAGGCGGAGGTCGAGGCAAGGAGTCACGGCACCCGGTACAGGCGGTGGGGCTGCGGACCGGCAGAGTCGGAGGGAGCGGCGCGGAGCTGAAGGGGAGCCTGGGCTGCTCACCTGCTGGCTGGCAAGGTCGGAGCTCAGTGATTCCCCTACACCCGGAGTCCGCACTAGTAGACGCCGGATGGCACCGCCCACGCCCACGCTCGGGCGGGACCCGGAAGGGGGCGGAGGCGTCTCCGGAAGCGGGGACGGGGGTGGTGGGCAGGCCGCCTGCTGACCTGGCTGTCCCGCAGCGTCAGTCTCTTCCTTCTCAGCCTCCGCTCCTGCGATCCTGCCTGCTCTTCTCCCGGCTTCCTCCTCCCACTCCCGGGGGCTCCCGCCAGCTCTTCAGTTCCCTCCTGGTTTCTCTTTCCCTTTCCTCTCCAGGTCCCAGGTCTGCTCTGCCCTGCGTGGTGGAGAGGAGCTCCAGGTCCCAGGAGGGGCGCCCCGTTGGACCACACCCCCTTAAGCTCCACTTGTCCTCAAAGTTTTATCGGCTTGTATCCATTTGAGGTTTTACTTGGCTAAAGCCACTCCTGTTATGTATGCCCTAAAAGGTTCCTGAAGGACTGTTAAACTCAACAACAAGAAGCCCAACTTAAAAATGGACCAAAGATTGACATCTCACCAAACAAGATGAACACAGATGGCAAATAAGAGTATAAAAAGATGTTTCACATATATCATCAAGGACATGCAAATTAATACAACAATGAGACACTGCTATACATACCTTTTAGAATGCTCCAAACCAGGAATATTGATAACAACCAATGCTAACAAGAATGTGGGGCAACAGGAAATCCCATTCATTGCTGGTGGGAATGCAAAATGGTGCGGCCACTTTGAAAGACAGTCTGACAGTTCATCACAAAACTAAACATACTCTTAGCCTGTGCTCCAGCAATCACACTCTTTGGTATCTACCCAAAGGAACTGAGGACTATTTCCACCCAAAACCTGTACAGGAATGTTTATAGCACCGTTCGTAGCATCTTTGGAAGTACCCAGTTGTCCTTCAGTAGGTGAAAAGATAAGTTGACTAGACTTATGGAATGAGATATGAAGCCATGAAAAGGCATGGAGGGAACTTAAACACATATTACTACCTGAAAGAGACCAATCAGAAAAGGCTGTTTGATTCCAACTATATGACAGTCTAAAATAGGCAAAACTGACACGGAAAATCGATCTGTGGTCCCCAGGGAAAGTGGTGAATAAGTGAAGCACGGAGGATTTTTAGGGCAGTGAAATTACTCTGGATGATACTATGTCAATGACAGATACATGTCATTATACATTTGTCTAAACCAGTGAGTTTCAACCTTTTTTTTTTTTATCTCGTGCCACATATAAGCTAATTTGTGCTAATAAAGCCTTGTAGCACACCACAATACAGCATCATAGCCCTGGCTGGCTGAGGGCTCAGACCCTATCCACAGGTGGGATCAGGGCTCGGTAGCCTTGATCTTCAGATGGAGAAAAGGAAATGTAAAAATAAAGACTGCATCTTTTACCTAGTTATGGTCTATTACTTTATAATTGTTTAGCATTGAATGTCCGTGAAGTCCCAGGTGGTTTTTCAGCCTCCCATCTCCCATTAAACTAATCCAAAGATGCTTTTTTAAATATCTCTATACTGTCATCTTCTTTACAGAGATTCAAGACATTAATCAAAAGCAGCACCCACATAATATTTTTTTATCTATCCTATTTTTTACTCTCCTTCAGAAGATTTTTATATCCAAAAGCATGTGAATATTTTGATTCCAAGAAACAGCCTGAAATGAGGTCTTTGATCTTCTTTCTTCCCATTTTTCTTCTTGGAAAGAGCTGCCTTGGATCAGAGTCCTTGATTTCATCACAGCTCCATTAGGGACTCGCAGGGTGACAATGGGCTAAGTACTCAGATACACAAGTCCTCGATTTTGCCACCTGTAAAATGGGGATAACGCCTAATGCTTTAGGTTGTAAAGAGAAAATGTGATACAATCTTACGTGTCTAGAATGTTTCCCGGCCTACCATAGACACCCAATGTTTGCTTATGTCTTTCTTATCCTCTCTCCTTCTATTTATGACATACACATGTCTTTCTTTTCCTCCTTCTGGAAGAGAGAGAACTGAGGACAGTCATCTTGTGTCTAGGCAGGTCTTCAGTGGAGCATGAGAAAATTTTTCCTTTGGTTCTGTCTCTTGTGTGTTTTCTCTCCATTGCAGCCTACCCTGGCTAAGCCTTCTGGTTCGAAGTTACAGTCTACTTTGCTATTTGCATATTTCCCTCAAACCCTTCTTTCTATTGCTTCCCCTGTATTTTCTGCTTTTTAGAACAGCCTCAAAGATTGCTACAGCTAAGAAAGGGGAAACAATAAACAAAGACAGCTGAAGAGGTGGGACGAAATTTTCTCTTGAAATTCTCTACCACAATTCCCAGCCTAGCAAGTGGGACAAGCACAGGAATATCACCCCATATTTGCTCGGCAAAGCAGCTCTGCAGAATGGAGGTCTTTAACCTTCTTCTTACAGGAGTGCATGCCTGAATGTCATTGTCATGCTTGACCTACCTCTTTGGAGGCAGAGGTAAGATGGGTTGAGTGTAACAGACAACCTCCAGAGCTGCTAGGTGTATCTCTCCCCACCTAGCCCTCCCTCTCTGCTACACAAGAAATGCGAGTCAATTTGAGTGAGATGATGATGAACACAGCCTTGAGTCTGTCCTGTGTGTAAGGAAAGTGAGTCATCCACACTGCTTAGCACTTTTTATCAATAACAGTTTTTACTGCCTCCTGCTGCACAATTGATTGTACCCCGGGTTTGATTGCAATTACTGCTCTGGGAAGATCTGTTAATCATCTATAAAGTGAGGTCATTGGTTTCAGTGGTTTCTAAGGCTGCTTTGAGCTTTCACAATGTTTTCGTCCCATTGTGCCACAAGGTCCCAGATCATGCCAGTGATAGGTGGCCTGGTTGCTTCTGAAAGACCCGGTGTGTGGGTTGCGTTGTGTAACCCCCAAAGATATATGTTCTAGTCCTTACCTGCAGTAAGTGCAAATGCAATCTTATTTAGAAATAGTGGGTTTTCTTTTCAGATGTAAACAAGTTAAGATGAGGTCAGGGTGAGTTAAGGTGGAACCTAATCCACGGACCTGTGCCCTCATAAGAAGAGGGACACTGGGACGCAGACACAGGCAGGGAGAGAACACCGTGTGACAGTGGAGGCAGAGCCTGGAGTGGCACATCTGCACTCCAAGGAACACGGGGGACTGCTGGCCACCGCCAGAAGCCAGGAGAGAGGCCTTCCTCAGAGCCTCCAGAAGGAACCAGCCCTGCTCACGCCTTGATTCCAGACTTCTAGCTGGTAGATCTGTGAGCTAACCAATTTCCTGTTTTCAGCCACTTATTTTTGTGGTAATTTGTTAAGGCAACTTGGGAAAACTTAGAAGCCAGGCGAACTTCAGTGTTCTTGATGGAGAGCTGTGTGTCAAGTCCTGTGTTGGGTCATCCCCTCGTGTTCTCCATGTCAGGGCCTGTCTTCCCTGCAGGCATGAGAACCTGGACTGTGGCCTCCCCCCACAAGAAGCCTTCAGTCCTTTGGGTCTCTTTTAGGACTTGCTTTTTCATTTACCTGGTGCTAGTTTCCCATGGATGCTCTCAACCAGCGCCTACTGCAGTCCTTCAGTGGGAGTGACTTCAAACGTGGACTGAACTGGGAAGAGACTTTAGAAAACAATTCTTGGCTTTCTTTAGCTGCTCTAATTTTAATTTATAATATTCATGTCAGGGTGATCACCAGGAAATTTTTTTGAAAAGACATTACCGAACAATCTCATGACTGTCATTTTATGTTGATGGGGTAATTTGTCCCTTTAGAAAGAGCTCTTTCTTGGGTAATTATTTCGGGTACTATGTGACAGGTGCAGACTATTTTAGGGCTCTGTGGCCCTTTCTCATGACATGCATTCACCTTGACGATAATGCCTGGGGCGGTGTTGCCCGTGACTCACCCCTCCTCCAGCAGAGCCCTGCATTATTCACTTCTTCAGCAGAGTCGCGTGTAGCAAGGGAGTCTTGGAAGACTGGCTTCCAGTGTGACCCTTGGGTCAGACTGCCATGAAGAATTGTCCTTCTCGTTACGAGGCGTCTTCTCACTCAGACTCGATTTTTAGGTGACGGCCCAGGAAATTCACGAGATATGAGGAAACGTGATAGCCAAGTGTTACGTTTGACAGTTGTATATAAATCTCCCACTTTGAGGCTGCCTTGCTTAAGTGAATAGAGGCGTATATAAAGTTACCTTTGAAAAAAGTCATTTTTATTTGTGGTTTCTCAAATGCAGACTTAACCACCTATATATTAATTTGTATGAGAAGGAATGGAGAGACATGAACTATTTCCATTTATTTTTAAGTATTTAGGAAAATCCTTCTAGACTTTACAAAACACAGTGCATGTTCCAGGTGATGACAAATGTATTGAAATAACATTTCAATCTTCTCACTTCATGTGGGCCCTGCCTTCACAGCCTCTTGTCTGTTGTGTATTCTGCGTCACTTTTTGGTGACTTGGATCATAATTTCATACTTTCCCTGGGCTCCTGATTTCATGCCCATTGCTGAGCTCTGTGTGCCCAAGTTTTTCAATGCTTAAGACATGGAAATGCCATTTTAGTAGCATTGCCTCTGAATGTCCAAAGCTCTATGAAGACAAGAATGAAATGTCCATTGCCTATTGGGTACAATAAGGGTGTGAATGTCCAGTTATAAAGATAATTCTAATCATCTCCATTAAGAAATTAAGATTCAGATGGGTTCAATCACTTGCTCCCAAATACATAAGACCAAAGCAAAACAAAACGATTGCTCTGTTCCAAAGGCCCACTGATTTCATATCAAGAGATTGAAACTCTGCTCTCAGAAATATTTGGACAAAGTCATAGAGTGTAATGCAATCTTACTAATGAATGCACTGTATTTATTTTGGCCTATATACAATTTAATTACTTTACTGGCTATTAACTGCAAACTTTTTAGCTCCTTGGTGGTTTTTAAAATGTGATGAAAACCTGAAGGCAAAGAGCCCAAAGCAAAACACACTGTTTTCTCCTGATAATGAAGTTTTCCAGATGGAGTTTTTCCTGCTGTCAGTGTGTGATGAAAGCTCATGTTTATAACCTGAACTAAGCCTTACCTGGGTCTTCTGTGTCAGAAATATGAGTTTCACTAAATTAACCACAGATCCCAAAGCAGAGAGAAAAAGCAAATTCACACCAGTCTGTATTTTGTCCACATAACTTGCAGGTATATGAGGACCACAGAAGTCAGCTTAACATAATTTTTCCATTTTACGCT